TGAAACAAACTAATCAATATAGCCAAGCAATAATTCTCAGAGGGCAACACAAAGTTACATAGCTATACATCTAGTTGTAAGTGATTTTTCATATAGCTATGACACCAGTCATGAAATAGTGGAAATGAAAAAGCAGGGGGAATAAACAGCATAAGCCTTAAAGAGTAACCACGAAGTTTCATTTTCATGCTGTTTAACAAGACAAAGCATGAAGTCCTGCACCTGGGTCGAGGCCACCCACGCCTGCTATCAACACAGGCTGGGAGATGGAGAACAGCCCTGTGAGAAGGCCCTGGGGGTGCTGCTGGGTGAGAGGCTGGACATGACCCAGCCATGGGCACTCCCAGCCCAGAGAGCCAAACGTGTCCTGGGCTGCATCCAAAGCAGCGTGGGCAGCAGGGGAGGGAGGGGATTCTGTCCCTCTGCTCTGCTCTGGTGAGACCCCACCTGGAACCCTGCATCCAGCTCTGGGGTCCCAGCACAGGAAGGACATGGAGCTGTTGGAGTGAGTCCAGAGGAGGCCACAAAGATTATCAACAGATTGATGATTGACAGAGCACCTCTTCTGTGAGGACAGGCTGAGAGAACTGCAATTGTTCACCCCTGAAAACACTTCAGAATGACCTAATTGCAGCCCTGCAGTACCTGAAGGGAGCCTGTAAGAAAGATGGAGAGAGACTTTTTTTATAAGGGCATGTAGTGGCAGGACAAGGAGGAATGGCTTTAAACTTCACAAATTGAGGTTTAAACTTGTTGTGAAGAAGAAATTCTTTCCTGTGAGCATGGTGAGGCACTGGGAGAGGCTGCACAGAGAAGTTGTGGGTGCCCCAGAAGCATTCAAGGCAAGGCTGGATGGAGCTCTTAGCAATCTGGTGTAGTGAAAGGTGTCCCTGCCCATTGTAGGGGCATAGGGGCCCTAAGGCATACCATAGGGGCAAGACCTTTAATGTCCCTTCCAACCCAGAGCATTCCAGATTCTATGATTTTCTAAACTTCACAAATAAAATAGATTGATTTCCCTGAAGATTTGTTTAGGAGGATATTAATATAGTCATTTATATATATTTGTCTCTAAACAAAAATGTTACAGGAAAGCATTTTGGAGGGAGGAAGGGAATAAATATTGCTAAGTGGCTTAAAGCTAATACGGTTCCACAGTTGATTACCTGAACATATTACAAAAAGAGCAGAATTTGTCATATATTTCTGGTAATAACTCTGAAATAGTTTATCATGGAAGACCCTGAAAAAAACTCTGATAAAGCACATTAAACAATGAAATATTATTTTCTTCCTTAGATGATGGTTCTGGATTAAGATATTTTGACAGATATATGTCCTACAGATGGTATTTGAGCTTTATGATAATTAAAAGAAGTGCTTCAGGGACAAATTTCTTTCAATTATATTGCTGTCTAACCATGGTTATTCAGCAAATACATAATTCATTTTATTCCCCCATTTTCTCAGGAATTGTATTTTGTGAAAGAATAGAAGATCTGATATTACTAGCTAGACAGACTCAGGACTTTAATGTAAAATACTTATTTATGATTCATCTACATATGGTAATATATTTTAAGTAGTTCCATGGGCTGCTGTGGAGTTAGTCTAGAAAGCAGAAGACATAGACAAGTTTCAAAGTTTCTCTGAAAAAGCAAAACCTTTTTTTCTCATGTAGTTGACTTCAGCATATATTTGTCTCGCCATGTAAACAACAACTTTTATATTATTTTGAATAGAACAATGAATGAATTAGACCCTCTTTTCAACGGGTATAATTAATGCATTCACATCTGCAATAATTATTCTTGGAAATAAATTATGAGTAAACATCACTTCTGCTAACAGACCAAGTCTCTTTATGAGTTACACAGTAAAAAAAACCTTTGTAATGGGTGCTTACAAGTTGAGTATTAATTAATAATAAAAATATTAAAATTATTGTGTAATAATTTACTATTCTCACATTTCAATTAGCTTGCAATGTAATTGCAGTTAAACTATTAAACAGACTGTATTGAAGCTAGAGGTCTAGTGAGAAGTAAAGCTGATTACATAGAAAATCCTTATGCTGCCTTTAGCTAATGCTGAATAATGTGTTAGTAAACTACAAGCTTGTTTGATTTTCCAGAGGATGGCAGTTCAGTTTTATAGATGTACCAGGCCAAGGCGATGTGGTCAGGGTGTGAGTAAGGCAAGCTACAGCTGTGGGGAGCTTGATGTGAGCAGCCAAGAAAGTGACCTGACTAGAGAGGAGAAATGACTGAACAGAAAAAAATGCCTGTTGGATAACACTAGCAGAAAAAAAAACCTGCCAATTTGGTAGCTATGACCCTGGGAACCAAAGTGTCCTTGAAAAGTGCAGCTGGCCTCTTCTAAGTACAGCTGGGTACCTAGAAAGTGGAGAGGTCCCAAGACACTACTGATAAGCATAGAAATAAGGAACTGTAACCACAACTTTTCTTCTGAAGCGGTGAAAAAATAGACTGGGAAAGAAGAAGGCATCCCAGATAAGGAAGGATTCTGAACTGCCATTGGCTGCTCTAACTGCAAGAGCAAGGAAACGGTCTGGCAAAATAAAAACTGATTTGAAGCAGCAGCAGCAAACATCATCATTTATTGGCCGTGCTAGGTGTCACACAGAAACTGATGTCTGTCCAGTTACCCATTTGAAATAATTATGTTTTTGTTCAGAAGAAGGAGTAGAACACATTGGTCTTTGTGCTACCCTGGGCAGTGATCTGCAGACCCTGGCAGGGGGTGCTGGGCAGGGAGCAGCCCCTTGTCCTCACCGCGGCTCACCTCTGAGGGCAGGGGTCCCTGGGCCACTGACAGCTCCAGTGGACCAAGGAGCCTGTGGGTAGCACTGCCTACCTGCTATGGACTGCCTTCAGCTCCTCCTGCAGGCAGTGACTGCCTCCTGCCAGACCTTGGCATACCAGGGATTGGCACTGTTTGGATAGCCAAGAAGGCAGATGGGATCTTGGGGTGCATCAGGAAGAGCATTGCCAGCAGGTCAAGGGAGATGATCCTGCTCCTCTGCTGTGTCCTGGTGAGGCACATCTATCTGGTATGCTGTGTCCAGTTCTGGGCTCCTCTGTGCAAGAGTCATGCAGCTCCTGGAGTGGGTCTAGTGGAGGGCAGATGGGACTGGAGCATCTCTCTTTCGAGCAAAGGCTGTGGGAACTGGGCCTGATCAGCTTCGAGGCAGCTGAGAGGAGACCTCATCAATGTCTACAAGTATCTGAAAGGAGGGTGTCAGAGGATGCCGTCAGGCTCTTCTCAGTGGTGCCCAGCAATAGGACAAGAGGCAGTGGGCAGAAACCGATGCACAGGAAGTTTCTGTGAACACGAGGAAGAACTTTATTGCGTGGGTGAATGGGCACAGGAGCAGATTTTCCAGAGAAGTTGTGGAGTCTTCCCCAATGGGGATAGATCCGATAGAGCCGCTCTGGCATGTCTCTGCCTGAGCAGGGACATTGGACCAAATGACCCACTGTGGTGAGCTGGAAGTCCCTTCTGTGAGTCTGTAAAGGCCACGTCGGCTCCGCCGGCGGTGGCAGCGGGGCGGGGGCACAAACACTGCTCGGAACGCCGGAGGCGGCGGGCGGAGCCCGGAGGACAGCATTGGCGGCCGCACCGGCCGCGGCGCGGGAGGGCGCGGCTCGGTTCGTCTCGTGACTTCCGGTGCGGCACTTCTGCCGGTGTGCCGGTGCGGGCGGCGGGCGCCATGGGGAGCCGCGGGCAGGCGAGTGACATACACACACATATACACACATACTGTTCGTGCTGGGAGGTTGGAGCCTTGTAACTTTTGTGCAGTCAAAAGACATAGATTTTCAGAACAAGAAGGACAAAAAGCTAGGTAAAAGAAAGTAGCGGTTTGCACGTAAAGGCCATTGCGGGAAAAGGAAGCGAAATGTGACAAGCAGAGATCAAAATACACGTCTTGTGAGAGTAAGATAGGGAAAAACAAGGATTTTTAAGCACTTTCATTTCTACGGTGTATTGTCCTTCGGTACCTCTTTCAGAAGTGTCTCGAAGCCCAGTTTTGGGAGTACAGTCGATAAGTATTTGCTCTCTGTTAAAGCAGTTGACTGTAGAGGTCAGAGGTATCCGCGTTAATGTATCTTGATCAGGACCGTCTAATACGGGTATTCTGTGGCTGGTGTGGGGAAAACTTCCCAGGCGGGCTTTGAAGAAATTGAACCAGAGAATATCCCGGGTTGGAAGGGAACCACAGAAATGTTCGAGTCCAGCTCCTGGTCTTGTACAGGACCATGTGCCTGAGAGAGTTATGCGAAAGTCTCCTGAGCTCTGTCAGGCTGGTGCTGTGACCACTTCCCTGGGGAGCCTTGTCCAGTGCCCAACCAGCCTTTAGGTGACGAAGCTTCTACTGATACCCAGCCTAAGTGTCCCATGACAAAACTTATGGCCATTCCCTTGGATCCTGTCACTGGATACCAGAGAGAAGAGATTGGTGCCTGCCTCTCCTTCTCTCGTGAGGAAGCTGTAGACTGCTGTAAGGGTTGGAAGATGCCTGCAAATGGCTCATCAAATTCTTCAAAATAACCATAAAAATCTTCAGGTTATACCATACACATGTTCAACATAAAATCACTTGTAATATTGACTTGATGTTTGCAGCAATGGCAAATATATTGTGGATTAGAAAAATTTTGAGATGTTAAAATACCTGCAAAGCAAGAAGTTTATTTGTTGTGTTTTAATTCCATGAGTTTACCTTCCACAGATTCACCCATCTAGGGAATGGTGTTTGTTCTGTATCCTAAAAAACATTTGGAATACTACTCGTGAGAAAACAATTTGAGATTATTATGAAGTACTTGGAATTATGTCCTCTAGAGATGACAAAACATGATAGGAAGTACTAGAAGCTTCAAAAGGCATGTTGTTACCAAGATTTTGTTTTACTGGTGCTCGTCAGAAATCCTTTTCAGTCTGTGGCAAACACCAAAAAAAGTCTCATAAAGATTTGAGGATTTTTGTAACTCATTACAGTTTGTATGAATGATCAACCAAAACCAAATGACTGTGAGCTGTGATTCTCAGGGGAGTTTGCTTTTCATACATATTCAGGTGTGTCCTATCTACATTGTAAATCCTGAGTTTTTGAGTTACTTTTCATTTGCTGACCTGGCAGTTGTATTTAAGGGAAGATCTTTGCATTGGTTTTGCCACACCACCTGTAGAAGATTTTTATGTAAGAATACTTGAGCCGTTTCCTTTTCTGTCTTTCAATAGCTGATGTAACCTTGATAATGACTTCAAGTAACTTGACTTCTAGAGTTATTCCAGTTATGTTTGGTTTATTTGACATTGGCACAATAAATAATACTTGTGTCCATGTATTTTCAATATTATATTCCCGTCATGCCAAATAATTACTTAGAATTGTGTGCCAGCATCCTAGGGTAATGTGAAATATCTAGATCTGTCTGAGATTTTGATGACATTACATCTGCTTTGGCTGCAAGTGTTCTAATCAGGAATTTAGGTAAAGCCTCTTACATGGTAATTCCATATCGAATTCTGTACTAAATGGAAAGAACATGAAATTTCAACCATTTGTAACGTGTTCATTTTAAATAACAGTCCTGCAAGCAAATAAGTTAATTCTATTGATATTGTATTGGCAGGTTTTGAAGCTTTTTAAGTCATTACACAGAACACGGCAAGAAGTTTTTAAAAATGATACCAAAGCACTTGAAGGTGAGATACTTGTTTTGTATGGTTTAAGCACTCAGCACATATTTTGGAAGGGAAACATCTCTTTTTTAAATGTACCTGATCTTCCTGGGAGATATTTTTATTTCATTTTTTAACTTCTCTTTAGTGTAGCCAGAGCATGTTTAGCTGTACTAATTAATTCTCTATGTATGGTTTTTTGTCAAGGGATTAATCCTGCTTTTTTAGTACCTTGTGTATGCAATACAAAATGCTAAATTTGGAATCTTATTTTATTTGTACACCATTCAATTTAAAATGTGACATCATGTGAATTACATGGAAATCTTACACTGAAATTCTTTGATCAGAGTGTCCCAGGAAGGTGCCAGAAAGGACTTAAGATTCTTAACTTTGGGGCAGCAACAAATTCAGAATATGATTTTTGTTCATGCTTTAGTTTGTTGTTTACTTTGTTTAGCTGCAAGACAAAAGATAAATGAAGAATTCAGAAATAACCGAGACGAGACATCAGAAGAGAAGATTAATGAGGTATTTTCTGGCTTTCTGTTGTTTTGCACTTTACGTAAGAATATTTAGAAATTAGTTTTGTACTTAAAGGATTTCTAAACACTTTGAGACATCATGAAAGCCATGTTGGTTTAGAAAGACTTCTACATGGGTCTTCGTTTATAAATACATAGATACTGCCAATAGTATTAATACTGTGTTATAGAATTTTGTTTATACAAAAATACTTAAGAAGAAAGTGTGTTCTGATAGTTCAGTGTGAGTATTTTGAAGTTTCTAATAAAATCATAGGAAAAAATGTTTAAAGTTGCAATTTTTATGTAAATATTTTATGCTTTGCTAGTAATATCTATATGCACTGTAGTCACTTAAGTTTACCTGATCATAGTTGTGTAGGCAAATTGAAACAAATAGAGAAATTAATCTGCTCAGTTACTCACAGATCACAAATGAGTCAGCATCTTTGTGGAAGGCAAAAACCAGCAAAATTATATGATTGATTGTAGTATAGTGTAGTTGTAGTATATGTTAATTATAGTACAGGGATATTTTTGCTTCTTCTTTCCTCATCATGCCTTATAATTAGAGAATTCTGTTAACTCACTAAGTTAGTTTCCTTTGCTCAATTGTCACCTTAACACTTTCTGCCAAGTCATTTTTTCTAAAAGTTACTGTGAACTGAAACAGAACTTGTGTATTTTAGGTAAGTTATTAACATTCATATAGAGTGAAAAACTTAGTCCTTGTCATTCAGCCTTTTGTCAGACTGTATTTACATTGTCACTGGGCACTGGTCGGAGGAAAGTGCTTACATCTGTCCCTTGAAGAAATAAAATGTAAACCTTTTCTTCATACCAACCACTGAATAGTAACATAAATAGTTCTGACCATTTAGTTAGGACTTCCTGAATTTCAGTTTGTATCAACCTCCTGAAATAATACTCAATGATTTTGTTACCACTGTCTGATCAGCTAAATTATGTGTTCAGGGTTGTTTTTTTTAATAGATGTACAGGAAAAGTATTTGCTGCAATTCCTGAAATCTGTATTTGTTTTGTAGGCAACCTACAAAATACACGTGTCTTCTTAGTATGGGTTAGTTAATATTTGATTAACTGTGTCAGTGAAAGAAATACTAGACTTCCATCCCAGCTACACACTCCTAGAACATCACAGGAGCTGTGTCATTTTATTACATGTACACACTGAATACACTTGGTTGCAGAGGAACTGAATGAAGTTTTATACTGGACTTGAGAACGTTTGGGTGCTTGTTTACATTAACTTGGTGCTGTTAGTGTTCTGCTTTGGATAGCAACTGAAAAATGGAATATTGACCAGCCAGAATAGAGAGCTACAGTATATTCTAATATGACATAGAGTATTTGTGTTTACTTGCATGTATTACATGTATTGTATGTACATGTCAAGCTTGCAGTGACATAAGGAGATCGACGTAACTGTCTACAGTATGAGAATGAGAAATGTGGTAGCTGAATCTCAATGCACCAGTTTTAGTTCAGATCAGGAATGCACTTAGGAAGTCACCTTGGTTATTTCCACTTCCTGTGATTTGTCTCGTTTTGTAAAGTGTCAGAGCAGCTGGAAGAATTCCCTTAAGGTCAATCTAAAGAGGAAGCTGTGCTTCAGGAGCATACAGCCTAGCTGCTAATGGGCTTTCAGCAGGGGGAACTGGAGAGTACCTGCTCCAAGCCCTTAAAAGGGAAGAGCATGAGAAGAAGTGCAGTGTACATGTCAAGTATTGAGCTCTAGCCTTTGCAAAGATCCGCTTCTCTTGGTATGTGCCGCTTCCTAGTGTGAGCATATCTCCTGAAATGTCTCACTTGAGCAATTTAATTTATTTCTGACACATGTATAATGCAAACAAGTATTGGACTTCTCTTAATGGCTCAGCAAAGCTAGCAAGAGTGCTTCAGCTTATCCTCTTAGTGAGAGAAGGAATTCTAGGCCTTTTGCCAAATACTAATACCTTGGGTAGTCTTTAGGTAGTGCCTTGTTTCTGCACAGTTCTGTGAAACCTCAGTATTCTTAATTCTTGTTTTGCCCTTGTTTTTCTCTCCTTACTTCAGGAACAGTAGTGTTGAAAGAATGAGATTGCCCTTTCATTATGGGAAGTCAAATGTTACTGAGGCATGAGTGAGTGTCTTTGATCACTGCAAACTAGTTAATTTGTTTTGTAGTTGCATTTCACCTTACTCGTCTGCAGTTTGAAGTGGGTACACAGATGTATGTACTGGTGTATATTACTGAGCCAGAGTATGTGCTCCATGTCAAGGTCACTTACATATCAATCTGTAAGTTATTCCAGGATCCCCAAGGTAAAAACAGTGTATACATAGTACATAAGTAACTGAGTAGTACAAGTAAATGACTTTATTGTTTGAATAGTTGTCTAGTATGGAAAATATCTTCAGAAAAAGTCACATATAATTTAAATTACTCTGTTGTTCCTCACTTCTTATTCCTTTTACTAGCTTCTGAAAATAGCTTCAGATGTTGAAGTGATTCTCAGAACTTCTGTTATTCAGGCAGTTCACACAGATTCTGACAAAATAGGTGAGTAAGCCTGCATGCTGAAAAGATACTTAAATATGTTATAACTTAGTAAATAAATACAGAATGTGAAAATAAGGAAAGGAATAGTAAGGCAAATAGCCTGTCTGTTGTTCTCTGATGAAATTCATAATGTAAGCTATTCATTAATGTTGCTACCTAGGACAGGTGGAGGTTTCAAAGGTACAGAGTTTCCATACAAATGTTTTGAAGAATGGAGGCTAGTAGAAAAGAGGCAGTGATTACTTCTAATGCCCTTAACTAGCTGTAACTATTGGGAAGGTCAGCAATTAATTAGCGTGCATGTACAGGCCAGTGAGTCAGCATATGTCTAAAGGCAGTAGCCACAGTACCTATCTGTACGTGCTTGCTCTACCAAATAGGGAGAGCTGCCTGAGGAACATTAGCAAGTGCAGTATGTACACTGACCATAGAATAGCTTTTTCTCTGAGGATTGAGTGTTCATTTCCAAAACCTCTTTCCAGCAATTTCTGTTTCAGGTTATGCTGCGTAAAATTTGTGACACAGTGATTACCTCGATGCAAAGTCTGTCATCTGAGATCCTGATTCCTGGTTTAGAAGTTCTTTTATCTTGCAGTGAAAAAGAGAAGTAGTAGGTGGGCTCAGCATACAGCTGTGCTGTAGAGAATACAGGAAATCTTCAGCTGTGTACATTGTTTCCTTTTACTTCCGTTTATTGTTGTCTGTTAAGTTTTGCACCAATTTTCAGTTTTAGGTTCGGTAAAACATTTAACTTTAAAACAGCAATTATAATCAAGGCCAAAGATAAGTCTGGACCAGTGTCAAGTCTTCCACAGTGGTTCCAGGCAGATAAGAGTTGAAGAATAGAAGCAGACAAAATGAATTTGCACCTCTTTCAACTGTTCACACCTGGCACCACTTCCTCAGTCAGGGATGTTTTCTGGTTTAATTATCTTCAATGGGCTTGTCTTCAATTACTTTTCATTTTCATCAAGCTGTTAATTTTTAATCATTAAAAAAAGAATTTTTAAGTCCTTTATTCCCTCCTTTTTGTTCACTTCCCCAGTGAAACAGCTCTCAGAAACAACAGGTTTTTTGTCATTATTCTTGCTATTCACTGCACAGTGTGGGCAAGGAGGCATTTATACACACAATATGGCACAATAATGTTTTCTCTTTTCATTTTTAACTGGATTCCTGCTAATAGTCACTGCTAATTCTAAATTTAAGTTTTGGCTACCACACATACATGTTAGGTACTTATTTTTACAAAATTGTACTCATTAAACTCATCAGAGTGGTCATAATCAGTTTTGAACTTATCATTTATTTTTTGAAGTTAGTATTTTTCTTGACCTGTCTGCATTGCATGTCTTAGGGTGTAATTTTGTCCATCAATTTACTCAGTCAAGTCTTGCTATTTTTCATGGTAAGACATTTCCTTAATGAAATTGTTCAGGATTGTACAATTAAAAATGTTTTCTTCACAGGTTACTTACAGATATGTTGAACAGTGACATGTCAACAAAAATACCCGTAGAACTCAGCATTTGACATCACTCCGGTGGATGACCTGATCATTTTATTGTTCACGTCTTACAGTTTAACCTATGACTTACCTGTGCAAGACTTCTGTCATAATAAGGTTTTATAAAAGCATTGGCCAAGGGACTCTCAGGAATCCAGGCATGTTGTGGTAACCTCTGAAGCGCCATTCAGAGAATTCCAGCTGGGGGCTGTAAGGCAGAACTTCCCTTGCAAAAGCCACATGGATTCATGGACTCAGTAATGGAGGACACAGAATAGTCAATTCTGTGACAGTGTAGTGGTGGTAACTTTCATTAGGTGCTTTCTTTTCCTGTTGGCCTTAAAAAAAGTGTGATAAGATAAATATTACAGATTAGATTCCCAGACTTGGGGGAGAGAGTTAAGTCAAATCCAGTATTCATCTTTGAAACTGCTGAAGGAGGCATAATACGACTCAGACTTGAAAAAAATGCTGTTCACCCCCCTGCTAAAAGTTACTGCAAAACTTTATAATTTTTTTATGGCTTCTTAATATCAAAATTTTCAATGCTTATAACAGGAGACAGGAAAACATTGTGACCTGCTGAAAGTAAAATCTTGATATGATTTTGTCTGAGATATCATGATGCTACTTGTACACTTAGCAGAAGTTCAGATGCTTATTTTAGTAACTGGATGTTTCATTTATAAATGTAGGAATACCTTTAGAATTTGAAGTAGTATTTTCCATAAGATTATAGTCTTACTATTTTGGTTTTTTTCTATTTCAGTACTTATACCCAGGAAAGATCTGCTGCAGGACAACACTCCGTACTTAGATAAACCAACAAAAAAGCAAGAATCCTGAGGAAATATTGTTACCAGGAAAAGAGAGACTGAAATCAACTCACTGATTTTATTGAGTGCCAGGATATCATCATGCACTTGTTCTGTGGAAGATAGTAATACTTTCACAGAACTTAAAAGTACACTGCTGAATTGTGTTACTTCAGCCAGGAATGTTTTTGATTATGACAGCCTATCAGACAGAGATTGTTTCCCAGCAATCCAGAGTTTTTAAAAGCTATATAAAAATTAAATACAGTACTTACTACTGATAATATTTATATTTAAGTTTATTATCAATCCTAAGCTTCTTTGAAGTAATGAAAAATCATCCTGTGGCATTTAATGTTAAATTTATGTTTTGCACCAAAAGCATGATTTCTGAAGTTGTCACTAGTTGTACACTGACATACTGTGATGCTTGAGAGAGTTTTAAAAAGTTTATTTGAATAAATTACTCATGCTTTACCAATGAAATAGCATGTCTAGTGTTTTTCTTCTAGACATTCTGGAATGAACAGGAATGTTAGGGTTTGAGTTCTCAGATGACAGTACAAGAGAAACCAGCCACAACATAACCTAAGGATGTTGGTTTAGATCATATGGTTTATGAATTTATGGTTTGCATTTTAACTTGTAATCATTGAGTGACTAAGGCATTTTCTAAAGAAAAGAGCCTTGCTGTTTAGTTGCAAGTGAACTTGCCTAGAGTGACTATATGAAAAGTTTGATTAGTAAGCCCTAATAATTTGCATTTTTTTTAAGGTTACTTCCTTGGTTCTTGTGGAATTCATCACGATGATCAGTTCACTTCCATTTTAATTGGAGCAAGGTACAACTGCAGTGCTACATAGAATATTTTCTTAGTGAAAATTGATAGCAGGCACCACCCTAGGATCTAAGTACCTCACACAGAAGTGACATAGTCTGATAATGTCTCACCTCATGAGTCCTGCTGTATCTATTTCCAGTCTCCAAGATGTCAGAATTGCTAATCTGTGTGTGTACTGATTCAGTTTCACTGGCTGAGTAAACCAGAAAACTAGTGCCTCCATCCAGTCTCCTTTTCTCACAAATCATGTCAGTATGACAAGTACTCCTTTAAAACTGTTGCCTTTGGCTGTGATGGCCAGGGCAGCCAGCTGCAAATACTCAGTAACTCAAACAGGTCAGTAACCCTCTTTGAATTGCACTGGTACTCCCTGCACTTGTAGCTAAAAGGCAGCAGGTACGTGATGGGAGATAGAATGAAAATGACTGCAGTTCTTGCCATTTGTTGTATTCTGATGGCTCCACTACAAAACAAATGTCTCTGTCTGTAGGGGATGTCCTGTTCTAGGCCCCTGGTAACGTTTACTTCCCTAAGGACAAGCTATAAGCTGTGTCTGGTTTCCCATCCTTTCCCATCTTCTGCAGCCTGCCTACATTGACTTTTTTTCCCATAAGGGGCATAAGAGAGTCATACGCCAGAAAGGGAAAATACAAGATAGTGGCAACAGTAAAAGAAAGCAGAGCATTTCCTCAGGTGAAATGACTAACTTTTAAGCAGAAGTAATTAAAAAGGGGTCTGGAAAGACTGGGAAATTTTGTAGCCATTAAGGTGTACATCCGTCCTGTGACATGTTGGAACTGGGGGGGAATTCACATCTCATAGCCACTGCTTTAGGCTGTGGGTGTAGCCTTAGAGATTTTATCCTTCATACTGATTTTATAGAGCTGAGGCCTGGTAAGTTTTCACTCTTTCAGTACTGATGTAAAATAGTGTAGCCTGTTACCATGCAAAACATATAGTAAAAGACTTTGGTGATGTCAGTGGGAGATAGTGGTCTTCTATATGCTGTTTGAGGAAGCCACAAGTGGAGAAATTTTTCATGGGACTATTGCTTTGGTATCATTCTGCTGTCATGTGTTTCAGGGTTTTTTTCTTAGTAAGAATACATCAATAGAAATGCAGAAGAGAAGTGTCCACTTACAGTATCAGGCTTGCAATTCAATGGGCATTTGTCTCCTTCGTCTTACATATACCTTGAATACTCATAATAAAAATACAGAATGACTCACTTGAATAACATACACAACTAGTGAAAATAAAGCACATTGTAAAAACGACTGGTGCAGTTTATTGCTCTTCAGAATGATTGTTCTTGCACTCCTGTGCAGTAACTTAATGGTGTGTGCATTAATATTCCATGTTCCTGCTGTCTTTGTGCTTTCCTGGGAAGCAAAGACAAACCAAATTCTGCAGTGTTGAGATGAAGAAAATCATGATGATACAAAAAAGGCTATTGACATAAGAGGCTGACAGGCCTTGCTCTTATCAATGCTCTTATTCAATGTGATCTTAAATAGGAAACCAGGGGTTATCTAGACCAGGGTAAATGGGAGTCTAAATTGTGTTGCTGAGCCTGGAAGTGTCTTAGACTTGGTTGCTGTCTGGGCCCAGTAGGTGTTTGCTTTCTTCAAATTTAACTTTTCAGTCTTGAAAGAATCTCACAAACCTGCTTAATGAGCAGCTGCTTTTTAAGGTAGTTAAAGGCTTCTTCGTGCTATTCCTCTTCCCCTTATTTCATGCTTACCTGCTGGCTTGCATTCCAGAACCCAGCCATCATCCCAGTTTTCATTTCCCTTTTTAATTTCACTCTGGGTATGAATCTGTTCTTGATATTGCTGGGTCTGTGTTCATATACACATACATTAATTTTTAATTAATACAAATAATAAATAAAAAGACAGGAACTACTCTTTTCAATCTCTTAAATATGTTTGCAAAGTTTGAAGTCTTAGCTGAAACCTTTCAAGTCATTTCAGGGGCAATGACTTTTCACTTAATGGCTTAGGAGGGGAAAAGGGTGATTGTTTATAACAGAAGTTAGTTGAATAGACTCACAGTGACACAACTCAATCACATTAAAGTTTTTTAGGTTTACTGGAACAGCAGAATTTTGAAAGCAAATGCATGTGCCTTTCCTTCTGGAGTATATATAATCAGTCATAAAAGATATGCCTTAAAGGTAATAGTTCTTTAAACTGTAGTTTAATCATGTCTGTAGAAAAAAAACCAAACCATAGAGGTCTTCTGCAGGCAGACAGGATGTGCTCTTGGAAAAGCCTCTATGCTTGTTCAGATCTGCTACAGTTCAGCTGCCACAGCCAAGAGGTGAGTGTGGTCTGACCAGCACACATTGCAGCATGGGGTGTGTCTGTGACCTGTACAGAGACAGCAGCAGTACTGCTTAGCAGGACTTGGTGTTTTACAGGCCAATTTTAGGTCTGCTCAAGGTAGTCACATGTGTACAGAATTTGGCAGAACACATGTCACCTCAATGATTCCATGTAACAAAATTCTAAGCACTTCAGCTTATGGCATTGTCTACCAGAGATTCAGCTGTTAGAGCCTTTTGCCTTGTTATTATCTTTTGTGAGGTGTTGATTTCAGTTACACTATAACTTTATTGAGAGCATTAAATTCATACAAAGAGTATTTCTGGTTTAAATACCAAGTTTTGGTCTTGTGCTAACCACCTTTCCCTCTCATTTATTCAACAATTTCAAAATAAAAGGTTTCTTCAGTTTTTTTTGTTTGTTTGTTTGATTTTGTTGTTGTTTTTTCTGGAAGATCAGGATAGATAGATCAAAACATGGTGTTAGTATGTTTTCTATAGCCTGATGTTCATAAAACACAGGTTAATAGATAGTTAATCTACTAATTGATTTTGTTTGTGTGGGTAGGATTTGTGTTGAACTTGTTTCAGGTTCTAATTTAGCAGGGGAAAATTAGTTCCCTTCTCTGTTACTGTGCACTTTGGTAAAGGAAGCATTTAGTTGCTAATTTTCCAGGGAATGCTTTTAAACTGCGAAGTAACTTCACAAAGGCTTGATCTGGAAGTAGCATTAAAAGTTTAATATGGAAAGGTGGCTTGTACCTTCCTTAAGGAGCTGAGTTTTCAGTTTTTCAGGTAGCATGAGACCCACAAACCTGTAGCAACTTCAGTGATACAAGTATTTAGTTTTTTTCTTAGAATAAGTATTTAGTCTTCTTTCCTTAGGTCTTGCCAACTGAAGGAGATGAAGTAGTCTGAGTACTGCATAAAATGATCAGCCCTGTTTGTATCACACTGGATTTGTAAATACA